AAGCTGTAAGAGTATGACACGTCTACAGTCAGCAACAATATGTACAATCAACATACCTCATTTTCCTGGAGCCAAGTAATTGGGGGCTCTGTGGGGCCAACAAATCCTTATCCTTCACCTTCGTCAATGGACTGAAATTGCTTATTCGATCCACAACTGATCGTCTGCTCTCAGTTGGCGACACACTTTCTATAGATAATGTTATAGAGCCTTTTCTTTCAGCATGCTCATTGTCATCTAAAGTTCGTTTGGTTAACACGTTTTCTTTGAGCATGTCTATTTTTTGAGAGGGAAGCGATATATTATGCCCAAGTTCAACATCACTACTGTAGCCTGCACTTAGACCTCCGAAGGTAGGGTCTGCATCTTTGTTTTGTTTATGGCCACTCATATTGAGCGTGTTTGATAATAAGCACGCATATAAATGTATTTATACAATCCTAAATGTTCGTTTAAAACACTTCATGTATAGGTATATGAAAGAGCACTCATATAGCTTATTGTATTCCAAAGTGAGCGCCTATGACTTACAGGGTGAAGCTATGCATATATGTCTTGCGCTATAATTATCATTAGTTTGGGATGCAAAAGCCGAGACCTTCTTCACATCTCCACATAGCGGACTATATGCGTATGTGTCTTGTGCGCACTGGCTGATAATAGTGTTCAGTGTACAGTCACACTCATGCACTCACTCGCTCACTCACACAGGTTATAGAATAGTTCATAGAACAGCTTCTACAAACCACCCACTCATAATTTTAAAATTCCTCTCACATTTGACATTCCACAAATAACAATCGTAGTATTTGTTATTTACTCATTTTGCCTCTTTCAGATCTGATATCAGACTTTATCAAAAGCTGATTGGATGACAAATCTAAATACGTTTGTTAAATATACGTTTTTAGTCTCCACGTCTATATTATATTAGCTCTATAGTTATCGCTTTGAATGTATATTGGAAGCCAATAAGTACAAAGTTATCGAACGTTTTCTCTATAATGTCCAATTAATGTGAAAAATAAGTCGATTCTTTTTCAAGTCTTCTGACTCGCATAAACGTTATATTGAATATGTACCACTGTATGTAGAGACTTTGTGTCCTTTACTCCTTTTTGTTTATTGTTTGATTTTTATTTATTTTTCTTGTAATGTCAACCATGTTTACCTCCGATTTAAAACAATGTTGGTGTTGTAAGTACCGAACTGTTCGGCAATGTTCCTTGGCGTTGATAAGAACTTCTAAGTGTGGGCGATAACTTATAAGTGTGAAAACTAATAAGTTTGAAAAGTTCTAAGTTGTATTGTGCGGCTTGTTGGCGAACGGCCGCGCAGGCTCGAATGAAGAGGGGGTTGGTGTATGATTGGTGCTTTGCGAACCGAAGTGCGGGGTAATATGAGCTGGAGGTTGGCAGATGACGATATATGTTGATTGGACTTGTAGGCTCGAAATTGAGTAGATACACGATTTAATTGGCGGCAGGATTTACAAAGAAATCCTTCGGAGATAGTATAAATACGCGGTTTAGTTCATTCAAGAAGTTCATTCTGCTAAGGTAGACGTTTATTCACTATTGCGGAAATAAAACTAGGTTCACCGTTACATTGTGTTTTGAGTCGATCTAAGATTACAAATAAACGTTAGTGGGAAATGGTTTACGAGAAGGATATTGCAGCTGGGACTGGGCAACCACTCTGGAGATATGTGAGAGGGGAGCCGATGACGACACTTATAGATCGATGGGATTACGTCAGGGGTACCAAGGCTTATGAGCTCGAGGCGAAGAAAGGAGGGTCCCGCCCAGCGATGGCTCTTTTGAAGGGGGTTAAACCGGAGACGAAGTCGGAACTAGAGGGCTATATTAGCAAGACTGCTATTGAGACGAAGAATCTGTACATCGTGGCTGCAGCATTGTATCCAGCGTTTAAGGACCCATTTGAAGTGAGTGGAACCCAGGAAAATTTTGCGAAGGCAATATGAGGTTGGGGATTTAAGCCTGAAAAGGTGATTGCGCATCTTCGCGAGATTTCATTGTCACTGGGTATCGCCTCTTTCCGCGCTATTAGCTTCTATGGCCTTAGCTGGCGACACCCCCGCAACCGACTGGTGATGTTCAAAACATTCATCCTATCTACGGCTACATATGGGTTGAACATTATTGCCTGGGCTCCGCCTATATGGAAGGATGCGTTGGACCACTTATTCGAGCGCTATAACTCAGCACACATCTGAGCAGCAGCCATCATCATGGGCACTAAATACCCTCGGTTTCCCAAACATCAAACAAACTTACTTCACTTTTGCGGCCTGCTCCCCGCGCGACCATTCGCGGACTACCTCGGAGGTTGCCTGGGAATACAACTCGACTCAATGGCAAGCACGAATCCACCTAACCCTCTGACACAACCCGCCTGGGCCCACGATAAACCATCACTGCGCTTCCCGTGCAGTATCTATGCTCACCTGAAAACTGTACACAAAACCACGGGCGGGCGTACACCCGACCATGTAGCCCTCCGACAACGCTGTGACGACATCAGGAAGAACTCAACAAAACGTTGGTCCAACGAGGAGATCGCGGCAATGGCCCGGCGCCAATACTACTACCAACTGGTTATGGGTAAACCGCCAACCTCAAACCGAGACACAGCCAGACACGACAGCTTCAATCGCTACTTCGAGTCTACACCAATCCGGCTCTGTGCTATGATTGTATCGAATACGTACATGTTTACATTGCTCGACTACCGCACCGATGGCTGTCTCTACCCTGGCTGCCCCGGTAGCCACAAGTTCACTGCCAGCCACTTTACCTGCATCCAACAACTGATTCGACGCATCCTGGTAGGCCCAAAACTGCCGCCCATTGGCTCTGACCTCTTTCAGCAATTACAGGAGTGCCACGACTTCCACGGTATCTGGACCCTCCACGAACACCTTGGATCTTTTCCCCAGCATTCGAAGAACCACCGTACCCTCACCCGTCCCTGACACATCAACAGATGTTTCCCATACCTTGACTAATTACGCTGTTGAAGTACTACTTCCAAATATCGGTTCAAACTAAATCATCGCGCTTGTTGGTTCCGACTATGATACTTCCGATCCAGGCCAGCCAACACATACCGAATTCATCCGTGGTTTGATGAGGCATTGGCTTACCCCCATCCTCGCTTCTCGACCGGAATATGACGGATAACCTCGTCCTTCTCGGTATTTCGTACTCTGCACTAACCCATTCCGCGGCACTACACGGCGCAGACCCGATCCGTACCACAGAGGTGGGTACTCTACTTAGTAGGTCAGCAAGCGAATATATGGAACATTCGATAATAACAGTGATTTGTCAATACCGGCCCGAATTGACTCAGCACATATCTTCCATTGTCGACTCACTTGGCCCAAGCTTCAAACGGGATTTTACTGACCACTTCTTCCCATCAATCTTTCCTGAACCACTACAGTGACTATGAGAGCCATACCATATGTTCATACATTGTATCATACATACTTGCCATTTTTGAAATAAATAATATTATCCCTGTGGTGCTCGGCATGTTGCGGCAAAAGCTGGAGCAAAGAAAGTGCTCCCAGAACGGGATCCATCTACTGAGGTGCCTTCTGAGGATGAACAAAGCGAAAGTGAGACTGAGGATGAAGTCGCAAAGGACGGTGACAGCAGTGATAACAGCAAAAGTAGTGATTCGTAGGAATGCTAAGAAAGCGAATCAGCATGGGGCACACTGGATGGTTCCTATGCTGAGGGATGATGACTATGTGGATATGCTTCTTAAATTGGCAAATGATGTGAGCTCTAAGGATGTAGTGATAGCCGCAAGAGCAGGACAGTTGCAAGCAGCTACAGCTAGACAGGAGTCCAGGGTTTCAAGGATGACAGGTCTGAGCGGGGCGTGCTTGTTTTGCAAGCAGGATGGTCACTATATGCAAGAGTGACCTGTGTTGAAAGACGTGGTGTGTCATACGTGTAGCAAGAGAGGTCATCCTGCAAGATTCTGTCCTACAACACGATCCGGGGGTAATGTATCGGCAGCAGCGTCTGGGGAGGTGCGTATGAGTGCAGATGGGACACCTGAATTGTGACATGAGGCGGCGGCTAGTTATGAAGGACCAGGCCAATCGTTGATGTATAGTTATGTGGAAAGTGAACAGTGTTATGTCGATAAGTTTGTTGATCAAGGCGCCGATATGTCGATGATTTCTAAGGGTTTGGCAGAGTGTCTGGGGCTGGTTGCTCAGTATGATTTGTGTGGAGAGTGGGTTACGGGGTTTGTGTGGAATACAAGGTGCGAGATGTTGAGGTTGTTTTGCCTACTTTAGTAGGAGAAAGTAGGGTTAAGTTGGATATGGGGGATATGGCTTGGATTCCACACAATGTGGGTATGTTGCTAGGTAGACGTAAATTGAATGGGTATGGATTAACTGGGGCAGTACTCACTAGGCAAGGGGTGAATAATTATACACTGTTTCCGATTGAGGTGGTAAGTGAGAAGCCATCAGACTTTAAGTCCTGACTGAACAAAGAGGTGTCTGAGCCGGTGTTAGATTATATTCAGCATGTGGCGGCGCCGTTATTATATCAGCGAGCAGAACAGGTAGCACCATTTGCTAATTTGCAAGATGATGGGGGTTATGATTCAAGTTATGAAAGTGATTGATCCGGGGGTGAGGACGAATATCTAATGTTCGATACAAGTGGCTTGGAACTGTTGGCTGAAGAACTAGGGAAGTCTATGGAAGAATTGGCAGAGTTGGTGGCATACAATGACAAGAAACCAAAATGTGTTTAGAAGGAGGGGCGCCTTTGAGACAAGCATTTGCGGAGAAAGATGTGCAACTTATAGAAGTGATGAAGAAGAAGGTGCAACTATTGCTTAAAGCTGGGTTAATAGAGAGGGTGCAAGATACGGATTGGCTTACAGTGCCAAAACTTGTGCCTAAAGTGCCGGATAGTAATCCCAGTTATGAAGAACCCAAGGATTGGAGGATGTGTATAAATTATATGCGTACGAAATATCAGCTAAATTCGGGTACATAATCGATACCAACAGAAGATGAATACTGGCAACAGTTAAGGGGCGCAAGTGGAGAACCAATGTGGATGCTGGATATAGTTTTGGGCAGCTAATGATAGAGCCTGGTAGTGGAGGGGTTACTGCATTTTTGACGTCCTAGGGAGAGAGATTCCAATTTATTGGGATGCCTTTTGGTTTGAAGGAAGCAGCATTTGTGTTCCAACAACTAATGGATGAAATATTGGAGGGAATTAAAAGAATTACGACGTACATTTATAATACCGCGTTAGGTTCAGATAATCCAGCTGAGCATTGGGATGGTGTTGTGAAGATGATCAGGCGCTTTGAGGCGAAAGGGATACAGTTACGGCTGTCAAAATGTAATTTCGCGTATCAAGAAGATCCTATAGTCGTAATGGGTTGAGAGGTTACAGATAAGGGTTCGATGATAAGTGAAGTAAAGCTTCAGGCGTTATCAGAAATGCCCAGGCCCAAAACCAAGGCCGAAGTCAGGTCGTGGTATCAGTGTTTTGGATGGTGGGCGAGATACGTTCCGAATTTCTCAAATGTGTTGGCTCCGATTAGTAATTTGACTAAGAAGAAGGTACGGTTTCAGTGGGGTCCTGAGCAGGAGAAGGCTTTTCAGTCGGCTCGGAAGATTTTGCAGGCGAAGACAGTCTTGGTAGAACCTAGATAAGAGAAGCAACTTAGGTTGCAGACAGATGCGTTGGATTCGGGTAAAGGTGCTTGTTTATGATGGAGAATGGCTTCCTGTGGGCTTTGTGAATTCCAAGATAGATTTCCATGCTAATTTGTCTCCGACAGATAGAGAATTGATAACGCTAGCATATAGGTTTTTGAAGTTTGTGGGTTTGATTAGGAGATCGTACGAGTTGCTTATAGTAGAGATGGATCATCGGCCTTTAATTGGTGTGGTTCAGCAGGTAGAGTTCACGTCGGATCTAGTGGGTAAGTGACGGTACAGGAAAAATATGTATATACGATCGTTTGATATGGATCTACGGTACCTGGAAGGGCCAAAGAACAAAGTTGCGGATGGACTTTGTCGTATGCCGTGGTGGTTTGATCTTATTATGGTGCCTGTGTCGGTAGAGGGTGTTAAGTTTTCTGCATATGCAAAATTGGGTCTGCCAGAGATTGATGAAGGTGTGGATTGAGTGTGGAAGACAGGAGGGTCCGGCTGGCGGTGGTTAAAGAGAAGCTGTGAGTGTTAGAGGAGAGTCTTGATGACAAGGTCAGTGCCGACTTTAATGTTCGTGTGGGTTTATTGCATCAGCAGGTTACTGCAGTGATGGAGAGAGGTATTACTAAGATGTGGGATCCGGATGTAATGGCTAGCGAACAGCTTAAGTGTATTGGTCTAAGTGTATGGTCAGAACTTGTTCAGCGTTTGCAAGAGTACGCTATTACGCTGGTGCATCAGACTTTAGTGCATGCTGGGGTAGATAAGATATAGGAGTTCCGGAAGGTTAAGTATGGAGAGGAAGTGTTGCGTTCGCAGATATATATTTGTATTTGCTTTTTTTTTTTAACAAAATACACAAATATTTTAGCATTTAATTACGATTCTACGCTGCAATTCCAATATTCCATAGCCTTCTGATTATTTTGCGGGGTTTGTGTTTAAATTTAGAAGGCTATGGGTTTGTGTTTTTTTCTAAAAAGGCCTACGAGGCTCGGATAAGAAAGCAGGGAAATACTGGTAGACAAAGTTTATGTTTAAAAAAAATCAGGTTGGTCGCAAATATTTTTATTTTATTTTTAAAAAATGAAGGTTTTGAAGAGTTGTGTTGCGTGTCAACAAGTTGAGGGGCTTTGTGGGACTACAGGGTTGTTAATGCAGCCTGAGAGGCCGAAAGGGATTGCAGTGTGTATAGGCATGAATCATTTGACCTTGCCAAGGACAATTCACGGTTTCGAAGGTATAGTAGTGGCCATAGATCATTTTTCTAGGATGGTGTGGTGTCGGCCATACACGTTGGAAAATAAGAATACTAAAGGGGTATAAGATTTTATTCAAAAACAAGTGTTGCCCTTGGGTACACCTTAGAAGGTAGTGATGGATGAGAGTGGTCCGTTCGCTTCAACAGATATGAAAAGATTTTGGGCAGAGAGAGGTTTTAGGGTTTAGTATTAACACCTTAGAATAAATAAACGCGTAGGTAAATTTTAAGTATCGTGAAAATATCTATGTAAATATACGAAATAAGACATTTAGTAAAGTTAGGTATGCCTCGTGAAAACAGCAATACTCTGAGGGATTGTGAGGCTGAGACATTGCCTATATATAATCTTCTCAGTAATGTTTCCGCCGAAGGGATTTTATTTAGTGTTTCGTTGTCGCTCTATTAGAACCTTTGGTATGTTTCATTGGGCTAATCCGAGAGACTCATAAAATCCTATCTTTAGAAAAATAAATAAGAAAAGAAAAATACTCTTGATGTCCTTAGTTATTGTCTTAACCAATAACTTGCCACTATTAAGAATTGCCGACTTAGCCTTCATCAGACTGGCACATCTGGTTGGCTGATCGGAGGATCAACTAGGTAACGTTAATAGTCCCTAGAAACCTATATTCGGTTGAGCCATCTCGCTACCGAAGTATTCAGATATAAATAAAGTTGGAAAGTAAATATAGTTCTATTAATAGAACTTGACCAACTCTTTATGTTTGGTATTTTACTGAGGCCTTTTAATAGTCTCGTCCAAATATCTGATATGTAAAATGAAAAAGGTATTAATTAATAAAACCATTAAAACCCATTTTAGGAAACTTAAGTTCGTCGTGCTATTAAGAGTACAGTTAGGAAACTTAAGTTCCACGTACTATTAAGAGTACATTTAGGAAACTTAAGTTCCTCGTACTATAATTTACATACTGCTTAAGAGTACGTTTATAACATAGAGTCTAATGTGAAGGCCCGGCTTATTACAAATGCGACAGTGAATTCGGCCACGGGTATCAGCCTATACTATCATGTTACGGGCCAGCATTATACAGGGCAGGTTGATAGATTAATTCAGGCAAAGTTATTAAAGGTGATAGGTTCTGAGCTTCTGAGTGAAGCTGCTATGCGGGATAGATCGGTGGCCATTAGAGATGAAGTAGCGATGGAGGCGCAGGCAAAGGCGGCCGACAAGAATAGAAAAAAGGTACCAGATTGTCAGCCGGGGCAGTTGGTTTGGTATACTGGTAGGTCGGAGGATAGTAAGTTGGCAAAAAAATATTTAGTGAGAGGCACGATTGTTATAAGGGAACACCTACAACGGATGTACAAGATCAGAATTAATGGGAAGGTTAAGTCAATAATCAGCTTAAGTTGAGGTTAGAGGATCCGAAGCATGAGGCCAGTATTAGAATGCATAGGAGGGGAGCTTGTTTAATCCGGCTCTACAATTATACTGGTGAAGGGGCAGCTAGTGTTACAGAACTTGATGAAATGGTGGCAGTAATGCGATCACCAAAGTTGGGGAGGACTTGGTTATATGCCATGAATTCAGCTTTTGGTATATATGTTGATACGATAGTCGATGAGGCGAAGCGAGGTGAGAGTAAGGGCGTGGTAGGCATCACTTCAATAAGAACATGTGATTTCAGGTTGCGAGGGATCCGAATTTGCAGAAGAAGCAGTTGAGTAAATGGTTGAATGAATGAACTCGACACTAATGTCTTGTTTATTTTTCTTGTAATGTCAACCATGTTTACCTCCGATTTAAAACAATGTTGGTGTTGTGAGTACCGAACTGTTCGGTAATGTTCCTTGGCGTTGATAAGAACTTCTAAGTGTGGGCGATAACTTATAAGTGTGAAAACTAATAAGTTTGAAAAGTTCTAAGTTGTATTGTGCGGTTTGTTGGCGAACGGCCGCGCAGGCTCGAATGAAGAAGGGGTTGGTGTATGATTAATGCTTTGCGAACCGAAGTGCGGGGTAATATGAGCTGGAGGTTGGCAGATGACGATATATGTTGATTGGACTTGTAGGCTCGAAATTGAGTAGATACACGATTTAATTGGCGGCAGGATTTACAAAGAAATCCTTCGGAGATAGTATAAATACGCGGTTTAGTTCATTCAAGAAGTTCATTCGGCTAAGGTAGACGTTTATTCAACTACTGAGGAAATAAAACTAGGTTCACCGTTACATTGTGTTTTGAGGTGATCTAAGATTACAATATTTTTTGTTTTGTTTTGTTTGTTTTTTCTGCAAAAAAACAAAACCAACTAAAAAATTCAATTCAGTAATATATATTTTCAAATGTACTATATGTAAATATATATGAACAATTATTAGCCACCGACCTAAAATTAAATAAATGAAATATTTTGGGTTGTTTGTGTTTTTAGGTTGTATTTTGAGTTTTAGTGTTGGAATCGAAAATCTGGTCAGCCATCGTCCAATTCTTTCGGGTACAGACCTTTTTCACCAAATATTCGCCAGTTTTTAAGGCCGAATACAGACTTCTAAAAAAAGCCAAAGCTCACGCCTCACGGACTCAGGGCTCATCACTCATCACTCATCAGGGCTCAGATTCACAGTCTCAGCCACAGGCCTAGGCACCAGATTGGGTAGACAGCGGTAAATATGTAAGGAGATATATACGTAAATAGTAAAAATACGCATACATATTCATAGTGATGTCACAAAGTAAATATTTACACGTTTACAGCGGACATACATAAATATGTAGTCGTACTCTACCAGTAGTCTATGCACAGGCACTAATTAGATTTAAGCTACTATCACTATACATATAGTCTATAATATGAGAATGAACCGTTTAAAGTCGACACTCTTCCGCATCCCTCCCATTGTACAATGCGGCAGAGCAATATTACGCAAACCGACCACTAAGGTTACAGCGCAGGAGATACACACACCACAGTTCAGGACTCTCCTGGATAATATGACCAAAAGCATGCGACATGCAAAGGGTATTGGGTTGGCAGCACCACAAGTGAACTCCAACTTGTCCGTGTTCATCGTAGAAGTGAATGCAGGTACGAGTGGGAGTGAGGATTATGGTTACTCGGGATATGTAAATTGTGCGTACGCATTAAATGTTTGACTGTGTGGAATTGTATTATATGAACATCAGTATGTTTGATTTAATTCAATACTGCATATGGTTCTCACAAAGTATAGATATATATATATATCTATATCTA